TGCTAAGTTCGCCTTGTGAGTTCATGTTGCTTTTTTCCACTATTTCATTTGTTAAGCCAACTACAATCAAGCGCAGCTATTCCAGTGCTATTTAAACTTAATCATGTGGTTGTTTGTTTCTATTAAAAATTCTATTATTAGAATGGTTAACTTTTAGGTGGGCTCGTTCTTAATTTATTTGTTTTTGAAGTGAAACTTCTTTAGCGGCGGTTGGTTGGTTGGGAGTAAATTGGCAAATTCAACGGAAATTGCACATGGAAATGGTGCAACGGAAATGGTGCAATGGGAATGGTGCAACGGAAATAATGCAACGGAAATGGCTGGGGCTGAAACAAGTGCTTCTAGTGTGTATGCATATGGTATTAATTTAACAAAAATTTGCTAATAAAGGGTTAAAGAATAACACTTAGAAAAAGACCAATACAAGAATGAAAGTAAAGTGGAGTACGTACATAGATAAAGAAAAGGATAAAGGCAAAGGTAAAAATAAAAACAAAAACAAGGATGCGTAAAGATATAGGCAAAAATGAAGACCAAGGTAAATTTAAACACTTCACTTACCTACTTATATAAGGGCAAAGGCGAAGGGGAATATGTAGCCGAAGAAAATGATAAACATAAAAGCAAAGACAAAGAGGAGGATGCGGATACCGATAAAAGTAAAGACGAAGATAGGGGAAGAAAGATTAAAATAAAGGTAATTAAAGAGGAAAGGATATAGAGAGACACACAGAGACTCAATCTGGGAACTATTTTGGGATTTTAGAGATTTTCGGGATTCTCGAGACTTATCGATAAAATAACCGATATTTTTAACGTCTTTGTTATCCATATTTATCGATTTTGTTATCGATATTTACCGATTTTGTTATCGATATTCATCGATTTTTTTTATCGATAATTATCGATTTTGTTATCGATTCTTATCGATTTTGTTATTGACTTTGTTAGCGATATTTATCGATTTTGTTATCGATATTTATCGATCTTGTTATCGAACCTTATCGATTTTGTTATCGATATTTATCGATTTTGTTATCGATATTTATCGATTTTTTATCGATATTTATCGATTTTTTTGCCGATATTTATCGATTTTTTTTATCGATTTTGTTATTGACATTAATCGATTTTGTTATCGATATTTATCGATTTCGGTATCGATATTTATCGATTTTGTTATCGATATTTATCGATTTTATTATCGACATTTATCGATTTTGTTATCGATATTTATCGACTTTGTTATCGATATTTATCGATTTTGTTGTCGATATTTATCGATTTTCTTATCGATATTTAACGATTTTGTTATCGATATTCATCGATTTTGTTATAGATATTTTGTAAGATGTTACTATCGAGTTTGTTATCGATAGAGGGTAAAGATAAAAATTAATATAAAGGGAAACAGAATAAAATAAATGTAGTTAGAACGAACAGGAGTAGAGGTAGGGATCTAGATAGAAGAACGATAAAAAATATAACCTTAAGCAAAAGCAGATGAATGTGTGTATGTATATATTTATGTATATTGGTTATGGGAAAAAAAGAGATACGTAACGTAAGCTTCACTTCTCCAGTGTGGCCCAGGCGCACTTACTTTTTTGTTATTTTATGGCCTTTTAACAGTTATATTCAACAGTTTTTATTGAGCTTGAGGCCGTTTTTAATGAAAAGCACCAATAATTTGAAAAAAAAAGTAAGTGCGCCTGGGCCACACTTTAGAAGTGAAACTTACGTTACTTATCTATCTATACATACACACATCTGCTTTTGCTTAAGGTTATATTTTTTCGCTTTTTTTCTATAAATGTAGATCCCTACCTCTACCACTGTTCCTTTTAATAACATTCATGTTATTCTGTTCTTCCATTATCTTCATTTTATCTTCATACTCTATCGATAACAAAATCGATTATAACGTCCATCAAAATATGGATACAAAAATCGATGACAAATTCGATCAAAATTTCAATAGCAACATCGATAATACCATTGGTAGCTAAATCGATTAGAAAATCGATAAAAATATCGATAACAAAATCGATAAAAATATCGATAACAAAATCGATAAATATCGATACAAAATCGATAAATATTGATAACAAAATCGATAAATATCGATCACAAAATCGATAAATATCGATAACCAAACCATTTATATCGATAACAAAATCGATAAATATCGAAAACAAAATCGATAAATATCGATAACAAAATCGATTTATATTGATAATAAAATCGATAAATATCGATAACAAAATCGATAAATATCGATAACAAAATCGATAAGTATCGATAACAAGATCGATAAATTTCGATAACCAAATTGATAAATATCGCTAACAAAGTCGATAAATACCGATAACAAAATCGATAAATATCATTAACAAAATCGATAAATATCGACTACAAAATCGATAAATATCGATAACCAAATCGATAAGAATCGATAACAAAATCGATAAATATCGATAACAAAATCGATAAATATCGGGAAGAAAATCGGTAAATAACGATAAAAAAGTCGATAAATATCGATAACAAGACCGATAAAAATATCGATTATTTAATCGATAAGTCTCGAAAATCTCTAAAATCCCAAAATAGTTGCCAGATTGAGTCTCTGTGTCTCTCTCTATATCCTTTCCTCTTTAATTACCTTTATTTTAATCTTTCTTCCCCTAGCTTCATCTTTAATTTTATCGGTATCCTCATCCTCATCTTTGTTTTTACTTTTATGTTTATCATTTTCTTCATCAACATATTCCCCTTCACCTTTGCCCTTATATATATAAGTAAAGTGTTAAAAATACCTTGGTCTTCGTTTTTACCTTTATCTTTACACATCTTTGTTTTTGTTTTTATTTTTACCATTGGCTTTATAATTTTCTTTATCTATGTACGTACTCATCTTTACTTTCATTCTTGTATTGTTATTTCTAAGTGTTATCCTCTAACCATTTCCGTGTGCAATTTCCTCTAAATTTGCCAATTTACTCCCACCCAACCAACCGCCGCTAAAGAAGTTTCACTTCAAAAATGGTAGAATGGATAGCTATTTCGGAAATCACCACATTTCCTCATCAGACTTCTTTCAGTAGGATTCGAACCGACGATCACCACTGACTCAGCCAGTTGCCTACGCACTGTGCTAAGTTTGCCTTGTTAATTCTTGTTGCTTATTTTCCACTATTTCACTTTGCTAAGCCAACTACAATCAAGCGCAGCTATTCCGCTGCAATTCACTTGATCATGTGGTTGTTGGTTTTGTTGGTTTTTGTTAATATTTCTATTATTAGAATGTTTAACTTTTTAGGTGTGCTCGTCCTTAAGTTATTTGTTTTTGTTATTTTTATGGCCTTTATAACAATTATATTCAACAATTTTTATGAGCTCGAGGCTCATATATGAGTAGCCGGCAACCATATATATGAGTAGAATTCTACGTAAATATGTATGTTCTCGTTCAAAAAGCTACGGAATTCAGCGGCGGATGTCCCTCTGCTTATGTGTGAGTCAAAAGCTTTCCTTCAAGCGTTGAATTTTTGATATATTTTCTTGTCATTTGTTAACATAACAGTGGTCGAGAAAATTATAGCCGCACCATATTTTGACAAGTTTTAGCATACATATTTTTTTTGTAAAAATATTGTTCTTTCTTTAACAGAACTCAAAAAATTTTAATTTCAAACTTCGTTCAATATTCAAAAAAATTCAACAAACTTTCGTAAAAATTTTAGGTGAATGGAGCGCTAATTGCCTAAAAAGCTTGGTATCTTCGGATATACATATGTACAGACATAACGAGCCCTAACTGCCAAAATCACGTAATCGAAATTTTTTTTCAAAATTTTCTTTTTGGTGCAGAAAGGCATCTAGATGCTCTAGGAATATTTTTGCATCAAAAAGAAAATTTTGAAAAAATGTCGTTTACGCTATTTTGGCGGTTAGGGCTCGATATGTTTTTTTGTACAGTTCTGCACATAAAATAAGTTTGGTAATTTTTTGTTGACTATGGTAATTTTTTCCGGTGGCTTTGGTAAAAAATAAATAAAAAATTTGTTGCAACACTGCTCTCAACTTGGAAAAGAGAAGACGAACTAATAGCTTGATGCTGGCTTCAAATGTGGCGGCCCTGGACGCAAGGCGAGTTGAATCTGACCCAACATGGGTCGCTCTTGAATTCCATATCCGGAAGTAATGCGAAAGGGGTTCCAAGGTAGGGAAATATCCAGGGTAGGAGGAGGGATTGTTTTAGAGGCTACACCACACACCTAGGAGTGACGCCTCCTATATGGAGCGAAGGCATTTTAAACCCTTTCCTCACCGCAAAAAAAAACCATACCATGCTAAGTCATTCGAGTTTTAGGCAGACTTAGCATAGTATGGTTTGGAGTCGTAGATATAAATAACAAAAACAAACAATGTAAGGACGAGCATACCTAAAAAATTAAACAATTTAAAAATAGAATATTAACGAAAACCAACAACAAACAACAACCACATGATCAAGTGTAAATAGTAGTGGAATAGCTGCGCTTGAATGTAGTTGGGTTCACATATAAAACAGTGGCAAAAGCAACAACAGTTTATTATTCTAAAATAATAAAAAAATACCTCGCAGTATCCAATTTGTAAACCGAACTGGAAGCGATCATACAACAAACCCTAAATTGCGTAAATCCGAGATCTACCTTATTTTCGAAGGGAAATTTTAATGGGAGATACATTGCCTTATATTTCCCTCCGCAGATGGCTAGATTTCGAAATTATAACGAAGGTAGAATACATTCTATAACGAAGGTTCGGTTTTGTTGGAGAATTGCCTCGAGGCAAAGACCAATAAATATTCAAATTCATTATCGAGGGTTAGACTTAAAAATTAGATTCTTTTTGCAATCCTCTTCGAATTTTCAACCAAGTTCAATGTTTATTGGGAAATAAAATATCAACACCATAAACTCGCATTGCATTCATAAATTGTTAGTACTTACTTCTCCATATTCATAATCTTCGTCTTTAGGTTCTTCGCCAATGCCCCAAACTTCCATGTTTCGTATCCTAAAATTTTGTTTTTTACTTAGTTGAACGTAATCACGAAACGATGTACATGACTCGCTACTTTGACCTAAGCCATAATCACTGTCAATCCATAATCCCCAATAATATAATTGTCCGCCCATTCCCTGTAATGGAGAAAAAATATATATATGTAGAAACTTTGTTGGAAGTATGGTGATGTTTCTGCGAATTATTGGTGGCATGCACTTTAAAAGTAGTAAAAAGAGGGCAATTGCAAATTTGATTGCGTTTGTCGTATCAACTGCATTGAATTTAAATCGGTACCTTTTTTATTTATTTTTGACTGCATCGTTCCATCAAAAGAAGACCCAAGAATGCGCAAGGAAAAGGGGTACTAACAATGAAATTCTGCGTAATCGTTATTGGTCTTAAGTGTACACTAAAACATGCAAATCGGCATAGGAGGTATGGGTAGAGTTTCTACAAATGTATCAAGATGGTGGATTAATGTCGACAATTCGCTTCTTGCACACTTTGATTTCCATTCGTTTAGAGTAGCGATGGGCATAATGTGCACATACGGGCAAAATGCCCAAACGTGCAAACCGCGGGCAAATGTGCAAACCGTTGGGTAGATGAGGTGAGGTAATTATGCCCGGGGGGGAAACAGAAAATTTTGCACAAATTGCATCTGTATGTGTGATCGGAATGAGAGAACAAGTATATGTGAGTACTCACGAATGTGAGACCCCATGGCTGCCAACTTTCCTAAAAGCCCAAAGCTTGGGACAAATCAAAACATCAAAATTTTTTTTTTCAGTAAAATTTAATATGCATCTATACTACATTAGTGATCGGTCCAAGATATAAGTATTGTTGTATTTATCAAAAATTAAAATAAATAGTAACGCACTAATAACGATTTTGAACTTTTATAGAACCAATTGAATTTTCACTTGAATTCGATCAAGATATATATTTTATTTGAAACAATGCATTTTGTATGTATGTACATACTTATGTGTATAAAAAGATTTTCGTATCCAGAATAACATTACCTAACGCAAACGTCAAGCTGTGAAGCTGTGTTTTTCTGTGATCTGTTTAAATTTTGTGTTTTATAAAGCTGTTTACGCTTATTAAAGTAAAAAATTAAAAAAAGTGTTAATAAACTTCTGGTGCACAATTTAAAGATAAGTAAAACATCAAAATTTCCCGTAAATTTGATTAATTTAACTTGATATTCTTAATTGCATGTGCCGAGTATTTTGTTTCATATAATATATTGTTGTTGTACAATTGTTTTTGTTTGTGCACATTGATTTTGCTCTTTTTGTCTTTTTGTCATTTCTGCTGTTTCATCTTTGTCACAGCTGTTTGCGTTGTGTTTATTAGGTGTCAAATATACAGTGCAT